TAATTAACAACAATATAAAACTGGACCTGAAATGACCAAACGTATTAGTGACCCTAAGATGCCGGCTTATCGCCATAAACTTTAAAAGTTTCCCTTATCCGAACAGTGCCCTTCCTTATCTGAATTACATCATCATCCCAGAAAAACATTTTTTAATATTTTTAAAGGCTATTTTTCTACCTTAAAACGATGGGCTAGAAACCCAAAACAGCATTTCGCCACAATTATCGTCATAATATATTCACGACACTTCAAATCCAGCGACCCGGTCCATGCATTTGCTGATTGTTCGTTGCTCCATCACCTGCTCTGTTCAGACGTCAGGCCTTCAGGTTTCGGAAAACAACAAAGCTGGCTGGATAGCAATCTGGACGAGCCGCGCCTGACGAAAGAATCGATCCTCCTCAGTGTCTAGTTTCACCCTGCACCGTCAGTCTCAAGAATCCTTCAGGTAGCAGGCAACGTTGCGCGCGCGTCGGGTCTCTGCCGTCCGTCGGATCGCGGCGCGGTGCGGTGCGGTTCAGAGGAATCCTGTCCGTCCAGCGGGACTCTCCCTCCCCTATAAATGGGGAAGGGCTGGGCTGGCAGCCCTCTCAACTTAAGCAAGACACCAGCAGCAGCAGGTCGGTCCGGTGTGTTCCAACTTCCAAGAAGCAGCCTAGGTAGCTTAGTTTAGGAGGAAGCCAGCACAGCAGCAGGTGACCGGCTGCAAGAATGGGAGGGAGCATGTCGTGCTTCGGCGGCAGCGGCCGGGACTACGACGAGGCGTACGAGCAGCCGCGGCGGTCGTCGAGGAAGGTGCGGCCGAGCGACGAGGACGGGCTGTGGTACGTCGGGGAGCGGGACGTCGATAGGAAGGCCACGGAGTTCATCGCCAGGTTCCACGCCTCCGCCAGCTACGTCGAGGCTACCTAGGCTCGCTTGATCTTCTGCTGCTTCCGCCGGTGATCTCCGGGTCCGGCTACGTACCTCAGGCGCCCCGAGGTGGCTGGCCAGTCCGCTTGGTTAATCGGCCATTGAGTTGTTATCCTGCTGCTCTCTTTCTCTAGTTCTATTAGTCTTGGTTATTATCTACATTAATCTTTGTGATTAAGAGTGTGTAATTTAAATATGTATGTATTCCATAAATAAGAGCAAGGCTGGAGGGAGGCATGAGCTTATGTACGTGAAAATATGGAGAGATATTGGTCTTTGTTGTTCGAAAAAAGAAATTGGTCTTTCAGGTGCCATATACTTAATTTTCTGATTTGCCATATTTCAAGTCATCTAGAAAATAGTTATTTCAGAGTCGATCGAAGCATATGCCTACAGTTGCACTTGCACATCAGAGTTTGATGAACAACTCCCCAGTTGCGCGTCTCTAAGCTTAAAGTTGCTCATAATACATAAGATGTGCAACCACTTAATAATTGACCGTTAGATGAAGAAAAACAAACTTCCAGGATCATTGACAAAATAACTATTTCTCATTCAAGTAAAAACAGACACTCATACATTGCTATGTACTCTTTCCGTCCCATAATGTAAGAGCGTTTTTGACACCTCGTCGAGGGAGCTACATGTACAAAGTTACTGTGATGGTAGGATAGAGCCAATAGGGTTAGTGGAGAAGCCGTGAAAATACTTGAGCAGGAGCAAGCTACATGCCTAGTGAAAGTTTTACAACCCGCACTCAGATATTTGGATAAAAATCATGTGAATAAGCCCTGAAACTGAGATTAGCTACTTCCTGATTTCCACTTTATTTGTTTGTATTGTTATGGCACCGCAATTTACTCAAATTTTAAATAATGCATCTAAAATTTAAACGAACCCTCTATTACTATATTGTCCAAGATTTTTTTAACACAATCTGCGACACTACATGTAGATTCTTGATCAAACTTTTGGCAAAAAAAGAAGGTAGAAATGACATAAAACCACAATGTAAACCTTCTCAAAATAGAACTATGCCTGCCATATAGTAGCAAAGCTCTAGAAACTATATAAATTGTGTGTCAATGTTGGTTTAGAAATGTGCAACTAGCTAGGTAGGTTTTGGATGTGTAGCAGCCGAGTTATATACTTCTCTATCTAAAGTTGGACACAACTTTCTCATAACTTTATACTTCATCATGCGTAACATGGTGAATTAGAAATAACAGTTTGGACGAAGAAAAATAACAGATCAAAAGTTCAAAATATTGCTTGGGAAAACTAAGATAAATTTTGAGAACCAACCATTGGTGGAGTGGCTTGTGGGCGGTGTCCACCGAGCCACCAGGTGGCTGGCTAATCCACTCGATTCTTCTTTCATATGTGAAAAAACATTTATTAGATACATCACCCTTGGTTCTATTTTTATTAATATAAGGAAATTGGCCCTCCACAATGGAGTGTCATTTTGTTTCATCGTGTATATGGTATTTTCAGTGCAATGAACATATTATACAGCTATATACCACTCATCATTTTAGATCCAAACACAAAATGAAACATTAAAATAAACATGAGAGGTACGACGATCTTCTTCGACAAAAGCTCCATCATAAACATATCTATCGTGTTAGCTTGTCCCCATTTCATGTATAGTGGTATCTCACTATCTCATAGGGCAGAACCATGTTCCACCCTATTCGTGTAATCATGTTCCGCCTAGCAATGTGCCACATTACATCATTAACCAAGTTGCCAATAGTCACTTCGATGTTTTCGCTCATGATATCTCCTACATGCCGGCGCAAATTGGCAAACCTGATTCCAAATTGTGACCACCCATTGTACGATGTTTGCCCATCAATTTCTTCACTTTTTCATTCGTTTGACTTCTTTCAACTGAAATTCCAAACCACAAGAATTGGCCCGCCATTTTTCGCGCCCGTTCTTCTTTGCGGTGAGAGACATATTAGACAGGATCATCGAATTTAGTCTCCCAAGAACCTGTGATGCAATCTTTCCCGGCAAAATGATCGATCCAACTTAGAGGGATCACAAGAAATTGTCTCTGAGCTCTCATCCTTCCTTTCCCTTAAACGCCCAAAAATTCCCCCTCTAGCCGTCATCAACTTGAGGGGTATCAAATCCTCCCATGGCAGACGTACCTTTCCCTAGATAAGAACGAGCCAATGATTTGTGACAATTCATTGGACCCTGTGTTGCAAAACAATCAGAAAAAGGTTGTTGCTTTACACCAGTGGTGCCAAATCACCGGCCCCGGGCCGGATCCCTTCGTACCGCTTACATTCCCCGGTGAGATGCAATTAACAGTTAACCTGTGACTTTGACTGTCAATCTACAATTCTACGTGACCGGTGAATCTGAATATTCTCAAGAAATGGTGGAGAGATCGCTCCGGAAAAGCGAGAAATTCCATGGGCATATACCTAGGAACTAGAAGTTTCTTCAACTCTGCCATAGTACGAGACATCTGCAAGATTTTCCTGTGCATGTATGCTGCTTGTCTGCAAAATAATAACCTGTGTATGTGCCTGCAACTATTGGCATGATTTGATGGTCATGATCAGATCATCAGACAAAACTTTGTGCCAAAAAAAAAATCATCATTTGGTGGCACACTACTTATAGAATTCTGAAAAGATGATCACAAGAAGGTGGCAAGGGACACTTCTTTTTCCCATTGTCCGGCTTCCTTCAAATAGCCTCTGCGACGTTCTTTCTGCTTTCTTTTGTTGGAGGAACAAAAAGAGTGGAGAATTATTGTCATGACTTTGGGCAAGCATTGGACGGAGGAGAGCCATCTTTGCACTGTGCTGCACAGCTGTGGTGCGTGAAGGAGCCATCTGGGAAGGCCATTCTGTACCTTGCAAGTACCAGCTCCTTCCTCTAGGGAAAGCACACCAGGTTCCTGGAAAAATTAACCATTGTAAATGTTATCCTTGTTATTAGGACTAAAAAAGAGCCAGTTTTTAATTAGTTAGTAACCTGGTTGTTCTTCTGATAGTACAGGTACGATGGAATGGACTTTTCACCTAATAAAGGTTTCCATTTTTCTGTTATGGAATGATTCTGCTGGCACCATGAAGCTAATAAATTATGTTTGTTGATTTCTGTCACAATAGGCACCACCTTGAAACTAATAAATTATGTTTCTTGATTTTTGTCAGCGTAGGCATTATGGAGAGTTCACTGAACCAGACATGAGAACCTAATTCTCGTCTAATTTGGATAGCTCCTAACTGGCACAATCTTTATTGAAACAGTCCCATAAATAGGCCTATCAGCAAATTGACAGGTGCTTGTCTACAGGCAAGATTTGCATTGATCTCTTTGCCCGAGCTGTAACCCGCGGAACTAAAGAAGGTAAGTAAGATTGGTAAGTGTGTCAGAGACTCAGAGTTGTATGTGATCATGCTAACCAGAAAAGGCCTATGATTCCACTCCCTAATGGCAAATTTAGAGGGCAGGGTTCCACTCTGAAGTCACACCTGAGCTTTTGCTTTTAACCAGCTGAAAAAGCTGCCCTGAGAATCGGTTCTGTGCCTACCCAACAAGCTCGTGTAGCATGTGCTTAGCTCTCTTATCTCTTCTGAAGCCTTAAACCTACGGTTCTCATTATCCGTTGGTGTTTTTTTAGAACTTATGAACATTTTTTTTATCACCCACACACGCTGATACATTTCGCAGTCTAATATTTGTATAAACAGACGGTTAGTGCTGCACAGGAAATAGTGATGTTGCATATACCATGTACCGACGATGCGGTCCATAATCTACCAGCATTCAACAAGCAGTGGTGTTTCAGTGACCAAAACATAGGCTAACTTATCCACTGGCGCACGTAATAAGCTAAATACATACACTAATCTACTAGCGTTCAACAAACACGGATGTCACAGTGACCTAAACATAGACTAACTTGTCTACTGAACTGGTACTACCCAATACCAAGCTTTCACACAGCAAATCACTAACCAAGAACTGTCATTGGCAAGTGACGCTGGCATTGGTAGGCAAAATACCGGGACTACGTTTTGCTCGCACTAGTTAGGCATGATCAGACATCAATTGATCACAACATGCCAGACCATTTTCTCAACGACCTTGAAGGTGCAACGATCGCCTTCTTCTACCTCGTTGTCTCGGCAAAACCTTTTCCAGCCTTTCCCAGTTAGTAAGCCGTAGGTGTTGGCGATGTTGAAAGCTACTGGCCAAGATCTTGCGCTCCCCTCCATGGATGTTTTAAGTTGGATTGTACATGCTTCTAGAAGACCAATTGATGAGCAAAAGGTCAATTTCACAGCCTGCATTGATGCCACAATTTGAAGCTCTTATGAGATAAAACGTTCACAACTATTCAACTACTATATAATAAAAGGGTTCTATAAAGGGAATACCGTTTCTGTGAAGTTAATAGTGCACTGTAAACTAAGATTTAATTTTTTAAAACAAGTGTGTAAAGTGGCAGTACCGCAGTAGGTAGATATTTTGCCTTCACACATGGTAGTACCTCGGACCCAAATGTAAGTCATTTTAGCATTATAGTGGTCAAATCATTTCTAAGTTTGAGCATCTATAAAGAGAGAACTACTAGCAACTAAATGATCAAATTAAAACTAGTAAATTATCATGAATTATATTTTTATAACATTAAATTATTTTTATGTAAGGTAACATATTGGCACAGAAATTGATGATCAAAGTGCCATCTTATATCCCGAAAGAGTTACATTCTGGATTAAAAGAAAGTAATTTGTAGACAGACTCAGGTATATAAACAAGTGCAAAACAACAGTAATTCGGTATAAAAACACACATATTTTTGACTTTCAGAGCAGAAGACATGTCTTGCAATGGTCCAAGTCGTTAATTTAAGACTTGACGCAAGATCAGTGTCACCATTTGGTGGAAGACATTATTATACAGGAATTTCATACAGTGCATATTTATTGAAGTTGACAGCACAGTTTATTGTTTGTAATCAAATAGGTCAGAAATTCAAGGTTTAGAAGTTTAATGTGATGAAATACTTAGTACAAACATCTGTATGAATAGTTTCAGATGAGTAAGGAACAATGGAACATCATAGAGCATTGAGATTAATTTTTCGAGATTTATGTCCATACCAGTAAACCGAAATATAAAGAGAGAGAGAAAATGCAGTTCTCACAAAGAAGCTTTTAAGTGAATAGCTGGTGATCTGCTTCGTGAATGAGTGCCTTCCCACAACACCGGCAGGTTTGCTCTGCGACTGGACCTTCTTAGCTTTCATTGCAGGAAACGTTGCAGGAATCGCAGAAACCACTTGTCTCTTGTTGTAGCTTCTCTTGCTGACAGTTGCAGCTACAAGCTGCTTGTGACCTGCACAATAAATTTCACATGACCCCACAAAAAAAATACATTTCACATAAGACAAGATGCAGGTCACAAATACTAAAATTTATTCAAAGTCATTCGTAATAAGGTAATTCATACAAATGTTTGCAGGAGGTCCACATGAAAATACAGTTCAATTCCGGCAAGAGTTTTATCGAAAAATATCCAGCAAGAAGGTATGTATTTCGCCTTACTTTGTGGGAGCATAGTGCTTGGTCCATCTGCCTCATCAGCTAGGTAAGGGTACTCCTTCATACACCCATTCGGCATTAACACCTGAACCGAAAACGACATGTTAACTTCATACCGGAACAGCAGGATGTTCCCTTCGGAGAGATCATGCGCCGTCAGAAACTCTACCCAAACTTCTCCATACAGCACGTCCGATTGACGTTGATCTAACTCGACTGGCCATAACTTGCCGGTAGGGCCAATGATCAAGGCTTTTTGGCTGCTTGGGCAACTCTCAGCCCCAATCAAGTGCTGCTGCACAAACTCATCAGGGATTGTCTGGAAGAACATTGGGAGCAAAAATGAAGCACATCAGTTTTAAGTTCAGAGCATGTCAAGTTGATACTACATAGTACTACTAGCCTAGGAACTTGATGAACTAGCAGATTTCTGAAGAGAGAAGCAGATTAAACTAGCTAGCTATATTCTTGATATAAATATATTCACTGAATAAAAAAAGAGATAAAACTAGCCAGCTAGCTATCCTGCTCACCATCTTCTCCCAGTCATCTGGTCGAAGCAACTTGATGAACCGAGGCCTGGTCTTGGACGTCACACCTACGTACCAATCACAAATTGTTATAAGGAGATACAAGTTTTTTTTTTCAAAAACATTGCTATGGCAGGAGAACTGGATGAGGGATCTAAGAAA